AATCACAATAATATAGGACAGGAAGAATAAGAATGTCATTAACGGTAGTAATAAAGGTAGAGCTAAACTGCATGTGTGTGGTTAAGGCAGGCGAATACGCCATACCTTACTTCCTCTCTGAAGAAATTAACATTAAATTGAATGTGTTACAGTCAACAAGAATGCCTACATTAAAGGAATCTGTTTTATAGTTTTTTAACCCATCCTTTCTCCATCTCTTTCACTATTCTTCAGGATAAAGCTGTATCTAAGGAACACGCTTTGGGAAAAGCTGTATTTAGCAAATTTCTACTTCTGGTATTGCATTTATCTTTTTCAGCTTATATATAGCCTACCTCTCCTTCTGGGCTCATTTCTGAAGTCTTTGTAAACTTTGCTAACTGGTGATTGATTTATTCTGAACTACTTAACCCTTTTCTGTCAACTGCTGCATTCTACTTTCTTGTCAGTCTGTTTTTATTGACATGTTTCATTCCGTTTTGGGCTTTTTTTTTTCTGCTTTGAGATTTTCTTTAGTTACTTAAGTAACATTAAGTTTTCTGTCACTGCTTTCTTTTTGACTTTCCTTTAATCAACCATAAGCAATCACTGCCTCACAGTGTCAACATTTATTGAATTTTTGTTCAGAGTATCAGGTTCTCTTCTAGTTGCAGAAAGTGTAACAGTAAATAAAAGTTTTATTGATTTTACATGGTAGGGTGTTGAGATAAATTAAAACAAGATATGTGTTGTGGTTGAACGCTGTGTTGCGAAGCTGCCTGCAGCCTCTGCAGCGCAGGTTCGATTGAATTCTCTCATCTTCCCACACTTCTGACTTCACCCAGTGCTTGTATGTGATATGTGTGTGTGTGTGTGTGTGTATGTATATGTGTATATGTGTATATAATATATGGCCTGTTAGGTAGTGATAAGTGCTTCGGTGAAAAATGAAGCAGAATAAGTAGGCTAGTTCAGGAAGGTGTTTTTATTTGATATACTTAAAAAATTTTTTTACTGTCAGAGAAGTACTCTTGAGATGGTGACATTTAAAGAGAGACAAAGAATATCTGGGAGGGTGAATAACTTGAGGAAGAGGGACAAGTAATTAAGAGACCCTGTAATATCAGTGTTCTTAATGTGTTTGTAGAATGCAGAGTTCAGTGTGTCTGGACAGGAGTAGCTAGGGAGATAGCAGTGTAGGGAATATGATTGGAGAAATGGGATGGTTCCGATGTTCGATGTGAAGCACCTAATACTCCAACTTCTGTGTCCCATTCCCAGAGTTTTTTTCTGGGGTTGGAGGAAAATTTTTGTTTCCAACAAGTTATCAGGTGATAAGTACTGGATCAGGGAGAAGAGGTTGGATGCAGGGAGACTGTTAGGAGGTAATAATCTGAAAAAAAGAGCTCATACACAGGCTTAGACTGGGTTGATAGCAGTGGGAAGTGATAAGTAGTCGGATGTGAGTTATATTTCGAAGGCAGTATCCTTAAGATTTACTGTTGGATCTAAGTCTGAGGTTAAGAGTGAGAGAGGAGTGAAACAAGATGAACATAGTAGAGATACATGATGGGGAATAGTGTATATCAGAGGTTCAATTTTGATATGTTCATTAGGATATACTTGATAGAACATTCCAGTGGAGAGGTGAATTGGAGGAGAGTTTCAGACCATAGACAGGTGATATATTTGCAGTGTATCTAGAGGAATAGTATTTAAAGCAGAGGGAACTAGATCAGTAGTTCTCAACAAGGACTTTATCTTCCATATGAGGCTTCTGGCAATGTCCGGAAATACTTTCTGACATCATGATTGGGACTGCTATTGGATCTTAAAATGCATTTTCTAATTAAAAAATGATCTCAGAATGGACCCAAGACATTCATATAAGAACTAAAACTAAAATTCTTAGAAACAAGCAAGTATAAATCTTTGGACTTTGGGCTAGGCAGTGATTTCTGAGAAGAGACTAACAACACAAGCAACCAGTAAAAAATAAATTGGACTTCATCAAACTTAAAGGATTTGTGTCTCCAAATTGATTGAATGAAGAGGCAACCCAGAGAATGGACAAAAATACTTGGAAGTCATGTCTGTTAAGAATTTAGTATGTAGGATATATAAAGAACTCTCACTACTCATTTAAAAGTCAACTCAAAAAAATATATTAAAAAAATAAAAGTCAACTCAATTAAAAAATGGACAAAGGATTTTAATAGACATTTCTTCAGAGAAGATAAACAAATGGCCAGCAAGCCCATGGAAAGATGCTCAACGTCATTAGGGAAATGCAAATTGAAACCTTAATCAGATAGCACTTTACATCCCACTAGGATAGTTATAATCACAAAGACAAAATGTAACAAGTATTGGCTGGAATTTGCCCTTTAGTGATGGGAGAATAAATGGGCACACAGTAGTTTCAGAAAATTATAATCCTTGGTTGATGGTATCTTTGATTAAAATCAACCTTTTTTTTTTTTTTTTATAGAGGCATGTTTTATTTATTTATTTGTTTGTTTGTTTGTTTATACAAGCACTGGGTACAGTCAGAAGCGCGGGAGGATGAGAGAATTCACCAGAGCCAGAGCGGGGAGCAGAGCAGGCAGAAGGACCAAAGTACACTGCTGAGGGGAGCAGCGGGCGGCAGGAGAGGTCTGCGCGCCATGTGGGACCCTCCTCTGGTGGCCGGGGAGCAGCCGGGGATCGAACCGGTGCCGCAGAGGCCACAGGCAGCTTCACAACCCAGCGCTCAACCGCTGTGCCACCGGGGAGGCCCTAAAATCAACCTGTTTTAATTTCTTGTCCATCAACCTCTAATTTCTTTTGTCCTTGCATTTCCATCTGCTGAAAGCCCAATTGCTTCATAGCAGTCTCTTGAGAGGCAAAGGGTATGTGTGAGTACCACACTTAGAGCACAGCCTTTTCTGGGTTCTGATTCCAGAGCTGGTGGTTACCAAATCATTATAGGCTTCAGGAGCATCATCCCAAACTCTGCCTAGTTTGACCCAATAGCTGGGGTTGGGGTGGAAGGAGATCCTAGCCAGGGTTAAGAAAGAAAGAAGCCCTATCAGAGCTTAAGGACATAAGATTCACACACTAGAAATGGGTTCATGAGCCCCACCAGAATGAGAAAAGCAGGGTGGTTATTTGTCCAGGGCTACACTACTCAGTTGTCCAGGGGTGACAACTATTAAGAACTAACATTTGTTAAGCAGGTTTTAGTCTCAGCATTTGCATGATTTTTCTCAGTTCTCCCAATCTCATGAAGCAGGCAGTGTCCCCACTTTATTGGAGTGGAGATAAGGAAAGGTAGGAGAGCAAAGTGGAGAGTTCTGCCTGAGGGAATGATGGTAGTGGGATCAGCAGGGTTGAGGAAATCTTTGCTTGGCATCTATTTTGCATCACCGAACAGTTCTTGCCGGACCCTTCCCAGGTCAGAGGCTGGGCCATGGCATAGTTAGGACTGGGTTAGGAAGCATTCCACTGCCCCTTGGCCAGGGACCTGCTAAACCCCTTGGCTGCTGACCCTGAAGGAGTTCTCAAGGCTGGGAGAGCAGTCCGTGCTTCTTTTGTCCCATTTTGAACCACCAGAGGGCAGCACTGACTCATTTCTTCGGTAAGGCCAACCTTGGGCAAGGTTAGAGCAGGGATTCTCAACCCCACCAGACTTAATGGCTCCTTAAAAAAATTCTAGGGTGTCCCTGGTGGCGCAGGCGGTTGAGCGCCACACTGTGAAGCTGTCCACAGCCTCTGCAGCACGGGTATGATCCTGGCCGGCTGAGACTGGTCGGCCGGCAAGAACCCCACATGGGAAGCAGACTTCTGTCTCGCCCACTGCTCCCCTCAGCTGTGTATTTCAGTCAGTCTGCCTGTTCTGTTCCCCACTCTGTCTCTGGTGAATCCTCTCACCCTCCAGCACATCTGGTCTGTACCCAGTTCTTGTATAAAAATAAATCTTTAAAAAAAATTAAAATTGACCTCAAAAAAAAAATTCTAATGCCCCCTTTACCATCATGAAGTTAATTGCTAAAAAAATTAAGCAAATAATAATAATTGTGATGTCATTATTACAAATTATAAATAAGAGGCAAGTAACTTGTAATAAGCTAATGGTTTTAATATGTAATACCCTTGGACTTTAAATATGAGGGTTGATATAAGCCGAAGTCAGGCAGGGGATGTCCCAAACAACCTAGTAGAGAAGGCCAGGGCTCCATTTTCATATGCAAGTTCTATTCACCCAGAAAGGCCCTTTCTTTTCATTGGTAGTCCCCGCACAGATTGTATTTGTAGTTCCTGAGACAAAAATTGCATGTCCTTGTGAAAGAAACAGTAATTGGTTCCAAAACTGCTACTCTGGCCAGAGCTAACCAGTAAGCCAGCAGAATGGCTGCGTCCTTGGGCCCTGGTTAGGATGCAGGGGTAAAAAAGCTTCCTGGAGCCCTGTGAGGAGGCTAAACCCAGTCCATTTAGGTGAGATTCTGCTTCTCTATCTGGTGCTCGGGAATGTATCAATCTCCAACTTCCTTCACCGCTTTACCCAACCTAGCTATCCCAGTGTGCCAGTGGGGCATTGCTGCCCATTGGAAGGTTTTGTTTCATGTCGTGGCCGTAGCAAATCTAGTGTTTCTCCCTGGCCTCCCTAGTGTTTGGTCACTGATGGCTTTTACAACAGAATGCTGGGCTGGCTCACATCAACCTGATCTCATAGAAGTCTCTAAAATGAGGTGGCAGGGCCTCTCTGGTGGCTCGTGGGGTTAAGACGCAACCTATGAAGCTATCCGCAGCCACTGAAGCACAAATTCAAACCCTGGCCAGGGAGCAACTCACATGGCACAGCAGACCTCTCCTGACTCTCCCAGTGCTCCCCTCAGCAGTGTATTTCAGTCACTCTTCCTGTTCTGTTCCCCACTCTGTCTCTGGTGAGTCCTCTCAACCCCCATACCTCTGGTCTGAACCCCAGTTCTCGTATGCATAAATAAATTAAAAAAAAAATAAGTGCTGGGCCTCCCTGGTGGCGCAGGCAATTGGGCGCCACACTGTGAAGCTGTCCGCAGCCTCTATAGCGCAGGTTCGATCCCGGCCAGCCGGCGAGAATCCCACATGGGGAAGCAGACCTCTCCTGTCTTGCCTGCTGCTCCCTTTAGCAGTGTATTTCATCATTCTGCCTGTTCTGTTCCCCACTCTGTCTCTGGTGAATCCTCTCACCCTCCCGCACATCTGACCTGTACCCCGGTACTTGTATAAAAAACTAAGTCTGAAAAAAAAATAGGTGCCATTCTCACAAGTGTGAGATGATACCTCATGTAAAATGAGGCGGTAGACCTGATTGGCCTGTTTGTGCTTCATTCACTCAACTTCCACCTTCACAATTTTTTATATTCATGAATTACTAGCATGCACCTTATTTATGTTTAAGCAACCCAAAGAGAGAGATTAGGAGGTATGTACTGTGAAATGACTTGGTGAGTGATTAATACTGTACACATTTCTGCTCCTGAGACCAGTTTCCAGAGGAAATTGCAAGGACAGTCAGTTTTCACTTATTTATCCAAATACAGGCATAGTCAAAATGTTTTACACAAGGTCTTGATTTATAGCAGTGATTATAAAGTTCCTCTGATCATTTGATTGTCTACATGAATTAAAATTTAAAATTTAAAGTTCCTTCTTCCAGTGTGCCAAAGCGTGATGGCAGAGTATCACAAATTCCCAAAATTACATCCAAACAGGATTCTCAGTTCACTGTTGTTTGCTCTTTTAGAAGTTAGAATATGGTCTTGACAGGATACTGGAACAACTTTTGGGATAGGATAGAGATTTATGCCTTCTACTGTCCTGTACCACTGATGTGAAGTGATTCCATAATTATAGCAATTATCTCTGAGAGATTTTTGTCCACACTGATTTGGATGAAATTTTCTGGAGCTGATGGGGGTTCCAGAGTATCAATTTGAGATTGCAGTAACTCAGGGGGCATAAAATGTCCTTTTCTCTTGAGTAAGCGTTTGGAAATGAGCTCAAATGTCCCATACAGATGGACCACAAAGAGCTTCACCTTAGCAGGCTTTCCTTCCTTCCCTGACTCGTCACACTTACAAGGTGCACAATCTTGCCCTCGGATTAAGATGTCTCTGTAGCTTTTCTTCAGAGCTGAACAGGCTAGAACTACGTGCTGTCCTGAGGCTGTATCTCTGTTAAAAACAAAAACAAAAAGAAAACAACAGTAGAGGGGAGGTGCTAAAGAATGAAGGCATTTAAAATACAGTTGCCCCTTGAATAAGGGTTTGAACAGGTTTGAACTTACCAGTTTCGTGTAAAACCAACAGCATCAGTAGGGTATGGGCAAATACGAAACAGTACTATGTGTTTTCCTTAAGATTTTTTTAGTAACATTTTCTTTAGTTTACTGTAAGAATATAGTATGTATTACCCAAAGGACACAGAAACATCAATTCCAAAGAGCACCTGCACCCCTATGTTTATAGCAGCACTGTTTACAATAGCTAAGCTTTGGAAACAACCTAAATGCCCAAAAATAGATGACTGGATCAAGAAGATATGGTACATATACACCACGGAATATTACTCAGCATTCAAAAAAGATAAACACATGCAATTTGCAGCAACATGGATGGAGCTGGAAGGGATCATGCTCAGAGAAATAAGCCAGAAAGAAAAAGAAAAATACCGGATGGTCTCACTCATAGCAGGAATCTAGAAAACCTAAACAAGGGACCAGGAAAAAGAATATAAGAAAGTGAAAATCAAAATCAACAAAAAACTATGAACCAGAGACACTCTATGGGGGGGTAGCTGGTGGGGAGGGGGGGGATGGGGTCAAAATAAGGGGGTTGCAATTGTATGGGGAATATAAAAATAAAATTTATTTTAAAAAAAGAATATAGTATATAATGTATATAATATATATAGAATCCAAAATAAATGATAATCAATGGTTACAGGTCAGGCTTCCAGTCAACACCAGGCTATCAGTAGTTTAGTTTTAGGGGAGTCAAAAGTCATAGGTAGATTTTTCTCACTGCACATGAGCTGGTACTCCTAACTCTGTAGTTGATGTCAATTCTGGGCTGAGGACTCCAGTCAGTCCTGCTTCTCTGCCAATGGAAAGCATTATCAAATGGTGGTCAAACATCAGGCAGTCCTGGCTTTGAGGTAAAGATCTTCCATTAGTGAACAGAGCCATCTGGGGCAGGGTATTATTTACCTCCCAGAGCATCAATTCCTTATGTTTTTTATGTGGCTAGTTACTAGAGTACCTGCTCACAGAACTGTGGTAAGGAAAAGGTTTATCAAGATGTGTGGTACACTGTGCTGTTTCTGCTCCCATGGGTATAGGATGTGGCTCGGCCTCAGCACGCAGACATGGGTGGCTGCCAGTAGGCTGTACCACACGTGCAGCTCAGCTTAGGTCCTCCATGGCTGTTCAGTGATTTCCATTTCATGGCTGGCTTCTCCCCATTCCTACTCAATGCAGGAAGAGTCTAGAGAAGTTACCAGTGCAGAGCTGGAAAAAGGAAAAATGGGCTCATGGGTGTGGCCAAGGAGAGCAGGATATGAGACATTTCCAGGGATGTACTAAGAGTAAGAACTTGAGCCAGAAACAGAGGTGAGTAATGAGGCACCAAAAGGGGAAAATGAGTATGGTCCAAGACTGCACCGAGAGGGAGTTAACACTTGCATCCAGCCGTTGTGCCTATACTGGGCAGAAGCAACCGGGAAGAAACTTGAATAAAGAAGTGAAGGGTGAGTGCCGGCTTGGGAACTTAGGACAAAGTTTACATCACAACCGAGAATTCTGAATGGGTCTTTGATCTTATGGCCAATTCATAGAAGAGATTCAGTGTGTCATCAGCAACAAACAGGTCCCTGAATCTTCCAGCTCTTTCCAAACCCATGGTGGGAGCTTGCTTGTTCTGGTTCTGGAAGTCTGATCTCTACTGAGGATCTTCACTCCTGCTTCCATTACGGGTCAGTATATTTAATTTCTGATGAGTCTGTTTATGTTAGAGATCCTGAAACCCTAAATACTAACCTATAAATCAAAAGCCTCAACTGTACAAACAAGGCTGCCAGCCATTTCAGTGTGGTGTGAAAGAAGCAAAATGAACTTTAATTAAAAACATAATTTCATATGACTTAGATGGTTTTAGATTATAACACAGGATTTATCTTAGAACTTTATAAAATAGAATTTTATCTTGGCAAGATTTATAACCCATTCCCTGCCTTTTTTTTTTTTTTTTTTAAGAAAAAAATTTTTAAAAGATTTATTTTTTTATACAAGCACTGGGTACAATCAGAAGCTTCGGAGGGCGAGAGGATTCACCAGAGCCAGAGCAGGGAACAGAACAGACAGACTGACAAAGTACACTGCTGAGGGGAGCAGCGGACGTGGCAGGAGATGTCTGTCGCACCACATGGGACTCTTGCCGGTGGCCAGGGATTGAACTGGCACTGCAGAGCCTGCAATCAGCTTCACAGCCCAGCGTTCAACCGCTGCACCACCAGGGAAGGCCCCTCCCTGCCTTTTCTTTATCCTTCTCCATGTCCCAATCAGGATTCCCAGGGGTCAGGTCCACAGATAGGTAGAGGGGGTCCCCATTTGCTCAGAGCTGAGCAATTTGGGACTCCAATCCTGTTGACTTACAAATAATACCAGATCTTCCTGGTTGTTATGGCTTGAAGTAGGGGGAAGAAAAAGTGACTAAACTATGGCACTAATAAGGTGGCATCGTTATTGTTTGCGTACTTAACTAAGGTTTGGATACTGTTCTAAGTGCTAGTGTTCATGCTTCATCTCACTAATTCCTCATAACTCTGAGTAGGAACTATATTTATCATCATTTTCCGGCTAATTAAAATTATTGGTAACTCAATAGAAGGGTATTCTATTTCTGGGATGCTTTATCTGTCAGCTGTGATTTCCAAAGTACATTTTTCTAAAGTACTTTCTGATGGATTTTTATACCAGTGGTTTATGCCAAGGCCTGCTGTACTCTTACCTTAGTAAAATGTCATGCAACTTGCAGAGCCATGGAATCCTGTCCTGAAATTAAAGTAGACACAAATGAATTTTTTTTTTTATAGAGGCATGTTTTATTTATTTATTTGTTTGTTTGTTTGTTTTGTTTATACATGCACTGGGTACAGTCAGAAGCGCGGGAGGGTGAGAGAATTCACCAGAGCCAGAGCGGGGAGCTGAGCAGGCAGAAGGACCAAAGTACACTGCCGAGGGGAGCAGCGGGCGGCAGGAGAGGTCTGCGCGCCATGTGGGACCCTCCTCCGGTGGCCGGGGAGCAGCCGGGGATCGAACCGGCACCACAGTGGCCGCGGGCAGCTTCACAACCCAGCGCTTAACCGCTGCGCCACCGGGGAGGCCCCGACACAAATGAATTTTCCAGGTATTTTTTGTACAGAAAGATAGTCAATCACATCTATCATTGTTAAGGTCCACAGAGATCTTGGTGTTTTTGAGAAACAGGCCAAGCACAAGGTGAGGCACCAAGTCACTGGGCACATTTTTCTGGTATTATCTCATTTAACTCAAGAACCCAAATAGGTCCTACTACCATCTCTACTTCACAGGCAGAAGATGAGGCACGGAGACTAAACCTTTTGCCAAAGGTTATATGAACTTAGTGGCGGAACCAGGTTATCTACACTTTATTATCTCTAGCATAATGCTATTGCATTTAAATTATTACTCTATTTTATGATTCCCTAATCTTTTAAAGTCAAGTGTTGCAAACTATTCTTGATGGTCAAGGCTTAATCACTGCAAACTCACGATGCATTCCTGAGTGCTCTGGAACTAGACCTAATGCCCTCAAGGCGGGGCAAAGGGAAACTAGTGAGACTGAGAGCACAAGTGGAGATGAGCCAAGTTTTTTTTTTTTTACTGAAAATGAAAACAACAGTGCCAGTCCCATTCCATTTCTGCACTTTGGACATGCTTAGCAAATGGGCCTGGCTGTACCCTTCCCATCTCTCAGATGCTCATAGGCCCTGCCCTGCCTCTCCTGGGTGAGAGCTAGTTTTTATTTTATTTTATTTTGCTTAGAAGAACTGAGAGGTAGGCCACAGGTGTGTGTGTGTAGGGGCAGGGAGGAGGGAGTTTGAGAGGATTCACCACAGACTGTGGGGAACAGAACAGACAGATCTACCGAAATACACTACCAAGGAGAGCAGCGGGCGATAGAGGCAAGGTCTGCCGAGCCATATGTGGGTTGGCCCCCTGGCCAGGGATCAAACTCAGGCCTTAGCTGGGATAGCGCTGAGACTTAATATGTAGGCCACCAAGGAGGCCCCTGGCTGACAGGTACTTGATAAATCCATAGTTTGTAACTGGTTAGAGACAGCCTATAAGGAATGACCTCAGGAAGGTGATACAAGAATGAAGTACTAGTCATCCATTCTTTCTTACATTCATTCAATCAAAAATATGCCATAAATACTTTCTGACATTTATTGGGTGTCAGATCCTGGGGATATACAGTAGTTAAAAGAAACAGCCAGTCCTTTGTCCATTTGGAGGTGAAATCTAATTGCAAAGATAAATATTAGCCACATTCTCACTCTGTCCAATGCCAAGCTGCAATTGGGACAAAGGCAGTAGGTCTATAGTGCTCTGAGAGTTTAAAAAGGAGGTTTTCCTGAGGTCAGCAAAGGCTTCTTGAGAAAGTGGCATGTGGGCTGAGAAATAAAGGATAAGCAGGGTTGACTCTATAAAAAAGGAAAGGAAGCACATTCAGGCAGTGAGAACAGCAATGCCAAGGCTTTAAGCAAGGCAGTGGGGGGACTGCCAGGGGCAGTTGGCTCCATTGGCTCCAAGGAAGTAGTGCTGGCACCTAAAGAGGCTACAGGGGGGCATGGTCAGTCTGACCTGACAACCATGTTTGTGAGTTTAGGTATTTGGTCTTAACCTTCATACCAGTGAGAAGCTTCCAAAGGACTACATTTGAATTTGCAAGGAGCACTCTGGCTTTGGGATGGATGCCAGAGTCTAGTGATGGTGACAGTCTTGCATGACTTGGGGAGAGGTGAACTTCCCCATTTATGAGTCACAGAGGAGCCTCTGTGAGGGGATTATATTCTGCAGATTAAACTTCCCAAACCTAGTTATTAGGCAGACCCTGGCAGAGGGGGCATTGCTCCTGATGCTGAGTTCAGAAAGAGAAGTTCAAGGTCAGTGCTAACATACATGGAGGACCAACTGTGTGACTTTCAGAGTACCTGCCCATGAGTTACCTCACTGCACAGGAACTCTCCTACCCCAAGTGCTCACTTTCACCTGCCCCACCCCGGTGGAATGGAGAGAGGCAGACAGTGAAATTACCTGGTCATTCAGTGGTATTCCTTTACTCATCTTCATTCGATTTTCCTCTGGATGGTAGTCGTCTGCATCATAGAATTTCCATCCTAGCTTTAAGAACAAAGTGCGAATGCGTATGTGGCAGGCAGTGCCATGGAGTTACTAAAAATAATGGGTAAATGTAAAAACCACCCAATTACCCTCTTCCCCACAAGCAGCCTGACGACAAGCCCCCAATGTGCAGGAAGGAGGTTTGTAACGGTACTTTACTGCATCTTGCTGGCTGCAGGGCTCTTTATTCATTCATTGCCCCAATGGGTTTCACAAGCCATGTGGAGTTGTCTGGAGTGAGTTTTATAAACCACTTCAAGCCAGAAAAAGGGAGCGAGGGAGAACCAAACAACACAATGGGACACAAAATTGGGAACAGGTTACCTTGGATGCCAGCAGGGTGCCCACACTGGACCTGTGGAGAGGACAGGTGTTCAAAGGACTATTTCCCAATCATCTCATCCTAGGACACGCTGGGAAACAAATGCTGCCCGTCCTGTATTATAACATATTATAACACTAGTAACTTTATGATATTGAAGCAGTGATAGGGTGGTGACCTAGAATCTAGGCTTTAATTTTCTCCAGGAATTTAAGAAACAATTATCCGGTAACTTTATTTTTTTTTCCAAAAAAATCAATATATAAAAACCTCAAGTTTTTTGGTCTCTGTTCTGTAGATGATTATTTTTTACGAATACTGAGTTTACAGAGTGAGAAAATTGTGAGGCTATTGGAAGGAGGATTCTGATGGGTGACTTAACTTTCCCACACCCATAGAAAGTTCAAGTAGCTCATAAAAACATTATAACATTGGAATTTAATGAGACAAAAGAAACACACCCTTAACGCGGAGAATTACCAGCTACCATTATGACTAGCAATGAAATGCTCTCTGTGCAATGCATCTGATAATGACCTGTGCGGACCCTAACAGGCAGCACTTTCAAAACAGGGGAAAAGGACTGAGTCTCAAAACCGGAGATCTGGTTCCAGTTTGCATTCTGCCACCAAATAAGTAACTGTGCTCCTGTGCAAGATAGTCACACTTCTGATCCAGTTTAAGCTGATAAACACTGTTCAAAGAGTGGGGAGAACAATAAATCAGAGGGCCAAATATACTTTCTAAATTTAATGAGGAGTGTGCCAGGCGTTGCAGGAGGGAGCTGGCGCTGCGGCCAGCTTGACAAAGGTCAGTGGGGGCCGGGAACGAGGCTTGCCCCCGCGCTCTGGGCGTGCACACTTCCACCTAGTTCAGGCAAGAGGCCCCAAAAGCGAGCACCAGCGACCGCCTGACCCACCCTAGAGAGTAAGCAGAACCTTTTTATCGATGTGCGCTCTAGCAGCGCTCCTTTCCAAAGGGCTTTTGCTGCAGGCCGGATCTCAGTTCGTTTACGGAAGGGGAGCCCGAGTCTCCGACGTGGTGCTGGGCCAGAAGCCCGGGGCAGCAGGTAGGAAGCAAAGAGGAGGAATCAGGTGTCCAGGTTTCATTTTCCTCTTCAGTAAGGGGAAGGCGGGGGCAATCCCCAGGCCCCCCCGCCCCCAAAGCACCACGGGCAGGGGCGGGTCTGACCACCCCCTGCGCGGTCCCCGCGCCCTCCCGGACCTACTTCCCGGAGCCGCTCACGCCCATCACCAGCACTGCGCTGGGCTCCGCCATCGGCCCCCGTCCGGCTCCTTCCCGCAGCCTTGCAGGGCCGCCCTCCTCACTTCCGGGTCCTGCAGCCCGAAGGCTCATCCCTTCTGGCCCCGCCCACCCGCCAGGCCCAGCCTCCGCCGCTACTGTCGGGTTGCCCCGAGTCCTTCCACGCCCCGCCCCGCGCCCAGACCCCGCCCCCGCACAGGCCCCGCCCCGCCTCCCTTCCACGCCCTCCGAGAGGCCCCGCCCCTCCTCCGTCCCGCCCCTCGCGGCACGCGCCGAGACCACGCCCCCTGCGCCGGCGTGGTACCTTTAAATCCACCCAGCGCTGGGCTCCTGCCCCGCTCCCCCCGCCGCCCTCCCCTCTTCCCAACTCCTCTGCCGGGACTCCCGCTCCCGCCGAGCCGCTGGTAGGTGGGGGTCCCTCCAACCGCCGCTCCACCCGCTGTCTTTTTCCCCCGGTACCCCTAAGTTGCTGCGGGAGGCGGGGTGGCCCGCGCAGGCTTGCGGGTCCAGTGCTCTGTTCCAGTGGAAGTACCGTTTATTTAAATGTTGTTGTAGAAAGAGTAAGCAGAAAATCAGTTCATACTTTCCTGCACCTTGAGGCAATAAGCATCTGGTCCAAAATGATCCTCCCTTCCGAATAGATTATAAATATTTTATGAAGTTGGGATCATGCTGTACACGGAGCTTCATAACCTGGCGCTTTGTCTCAGGGGTGAGAGGTGGGCAGCTTTTGGTGTCAAACATTGGTCTGGCCATACTGGCGTCTGTCATGGCTGTACGGCTGCTACTTAATCTGGCTCTTGTTCACAGGTAAATTACTTAACAGCAAGGAGCACCCTTTAGAGGGCCATTTGCTTGAAAACAATGTGTCAATGATGTGTAATTTAAAATATTTGATTAGGGTTTCCCTGGTGGTGCAAGGGGTTAAGCACCACACTATGAAGCAATCTGCAGCCACTGCATCATGAGTTCCATCCCCGGGCGGCCAGGGAGCAACCCACATGGCACAGCAGACCTCTCCTGCCTCGCTTGCTACTCCCCTCAGCAGTGTGTTTCAGTCAGTCTGCTTGTTCTGCTCCCCGCTCTGTCTCTGGTGAATCCTCTCACCCTCAGCATCTCTGGCCTGTACCCCAGCTCTTGTATGCATAAATAAATAAATCTTTAAAAAAAATTTGATTAAAAGCACTTCCAACCACATTCTGTCCAGCCTCCTTCTCTACTAAAATTCTTGTTACTCTGTGTCCTGGAAAACAATAAAACTGACATAAAAACATCTAATGCCCTGACTTTGTGTTTCCTAGGTATCCAAAGTGATGAGACTTCAGTGTTCCTGGGTTGAGGTGGTACAGATGAAGAAACTGAGGCCTGAGAGATGAGGTGACTAGGCCAAGGTCTTATAGTTTGGTTTTGGCCAATGAACATTTCTTGAACATCCACCATCAGTGGAACTCTGAGGTGACTATTACCCTTGTCAACACAGTAAGTGCCAAAATGAGAGGCAATCAGGTGTTTATTTTGGGATCAAAGAATTGCAATTCAGGAAGAACAACTTCAAGCAGAAACTCAAATAGTGTCTGAGGTGGGGTAAAAGTCAGGGACTTTATATGGAGGAAAAAAAGGATGAGGTAATGGAGGATGGCCTGCAGCTGGCCAGCGGGGAGGGTCCCACATGGCCGGACAGACCTCTCCTGCCACCTGCTGCTCCCCTCAGTAGTGTATTTCGTCAGTCTGTCTGTTCTGTTCCCTGTTCTGGCTCTTGAATTCTCTCACCCTCCCATGCTTCTGACTGTACCCAGTGCTTGTATAAATAAAAATAAATAAATCTTTTAAAAAAAAAAGAAAAAAAAATGTTTCTTCATCTTAAAAAAAAAAAAAAAAAGAGCCAGGGTACAGGCCAGAGATTACGGGAGGTGAGAGGATTCGCTAGAGACAGAGTGGGGAGCAAAACAGGCAGACTGACTGAAATACACTGCTGAGGGAAATAGCAGGCACGATAGAAGAGGTCTGCTGCGCCATGTGAGTTGCTACCTGGCCTCCCGGTTTAGAACTCATGCTGCAGAGGCTGCAAATTGCTTCATAGTGCAGTGCTTAACCCCTTGCGCCACCAGGGAGGCCCTCATTAGTCCTTTTAAACAGGTTATACTCCTTGTTCGCTTCTTGGAATGTTGGTGGCTTGGCTTAGTCCAATGGTCTGGCCCAGTTTAAGGAGGACAGCAAGGTGACCCTTTTTTTTTTTTTTTTTTTTTTGCAGTAGTTTGCTGCTTCAGTCCTGTTAAAAAAAAAGGCTCCAGTTATGTTTGCTTTTTATATCCTCCAGGTACTCTAGGCAGGTAGGGGGATAGTTTAAGCAAACGCTGTAACTTGTGCACTGCTTGTCTAACTCCAGGAAAACAGTAAAGCTGTATTTATTTGAATGTTGAGTCACACTGATTAGCAGAAAGTCTGATTCTTCTCCCCAGATTGCCCTCCCAAGATCTCATATTTGCTGTATTAGTCAGTGTGGTGGCAGGAAGCAGCACTGTCAAGGATTTGGATAAAGGAACTATATGCAGAGATGCCTCAGAGTCAAGTTAAAGCAACAAGGGCAATGTGTTAGTCCCAGTAACTGAGGGATGTGATGCCTTTATGGGGCTACTAGAGACAGAGAGTGCTGTGTAGGTAGGGATGTATGACAAAAAATGTAGCCTTAGGGAGAGAAGCAGACACCACTTATTCACTCAAAAGAAAAGGAATCAGGAGAATGATTCCCTTCCCTTCTCTTGTCCTTTGATCTTCTGCTAGTGGTCAAACTTCAGTGGAGTGACCAAATCCACAGACGAAATCCCAAGTCTTAGTTAAGCGTGTGAATCATTATTTTGGGGTGTTTTTGTGACTGTTTCTAGAAGAGATTTGCAATTTGATTGACAGACTGAGTAAAGTCAGTGCCTTTCATCAATTTGGCTGGACATCCTCCAATTCATTGAAAGTCTGAATAAAACAAAAAAGTGGAGGAAAGGTGAATTTGCTCTGAATACTTAAAGTGGGGCATCTTCTCCAGCCCATGGACATTGCTATTCCTATTCTCAGACCCTTCAGACTTGGATGGAAACTATGTGACTGTGTCTCCAGCTTGCAGACTAAGTACGCAGGTAGCAGGTCTCAGCCTCCTTAATCATGTGAGCCCATTCTTTGTAATCAATTTCCTTTTATATAGGTTTATATAACCTAGTATCTGGTTTTCTTGGAGAACCTTAGCTAATACCAATATCCAGGTATTTATTTTTTGACTTTAAACTGTTCATACACATTTTATATACTTTTATATGTATCATATATCACACACACATGCAACTGGGATCTTCCTTACCTAGTTTACAAAGAGTAAATAAGCAGCAGTTGGAGACTCAGGAAAGCGAGCTGGCAAAGCGGGAATGTGAAATGTCTCATATACTAAGAATCTAAATTGATCTTGACTTTCTTTTTTGCCAGCTTGATTACTTCTTAACTCGCTGCTAGTGTTTCTGCTGACTTTGCACCTGATGGTAGCTATCTCTCACACCAGTGACATTGCACAATACTCCATCAGTATTAGTTTGTGAAAACTTGCAACATTAAATAAGAATTGATTTTAGTTGAAAAATTAAGTCTTTTCAAACAAACAAAACAAAATTACACTCTTGACTATCTTTTAATATCTCTTCTATCTCCTCTGTTAGTGGCAGGTGACTCAGACAATACTAAATGATGACATGCATTTCCTCTGTCCCTTGCTCTCTCCATTCCTCTCTCCCCCCCTCCCTCCCTTACCTTTTCTTTCTCTCTCTCTCTCTCTTTTTTTTTTAAAGATTTATTTATTTATTTATACAAGCACAGGGTATAGTCAGAAGTGTGGGAGGGTGAGAGAATTCACCAGAGCCAGAGCAGGGTACAGAACAGGTAGACTGACGAAATATACTGTGGAGGGGAGCAGCGGGCGTGGCAGGAAAGGTCTGTCGTGCCATGTGGGACCTTTGCTGGTGGCCGGGGATCGAACTGGGGCTGCAGAGGCTGTGGGCAGCTTCACAGCCCAGTGCTCAACCGCTGTGCCACCGGGGAGGCGCTCTTTCTCTTTGTTATTTAAACATACTTCAGGTACATTTTCTCTTACCTTTTTGGCAATACAATAACAATGATAATTTTTACAATAAATCCTCCAGATAACTGAATTTGTCCTTCAAATTCTCTTTGAATGGAAGACATAATTACACTGTATAACTCTTGTAAAAATAGATTCTTTATCTTCTTGAAGATTAGTTAGTTGACTGTTTTGGGTTACTGAAAGCATGCCATCCTTTGGAACTTTTGCTCTAATGGTGAATGTATTTCTTTCAATGTTAATTCTTTTAAATGAAAAAAGCATTGCTGCGTTGTTCATTATTTGGTTCCTCTCTCTTACTCCTTTCTTCTTCTTTTCTGTGATAAATTCTTAGTTACTTCAAGGGCAAGAGGATATGGGTTTCAAACTTCCTTAGTTAAAGGACCCTTAATCCAATTTCTTTGCTCACTGCGAATCACAATTAGTGTCACACAGTGTTTGAGTTTACTAAGCATTCAGTAGTTTCAGATGGTTCTGCAACTACAATTTCTTTGTGAAGATTCAGAAAGCATGAGGATATTTTAGTGTCCTGGGTCATCATTACAAATACCAATCATTAATAGAGTATTTAGTTACCTAACCCTGCCCCTGGCTATTGTCCTCCCCCCTGAAATTGCACCCCCCGGGGTAGAGAGAGAGGCTTATAGTGGGGTCAAATGCAGGGTACAGAGCACTTAATTTTCACAGCCTTGTGAGACTGGGATTTACCAGATGAGAAAGCAGGCACAGGAAGGTTAAAGGACTAGTTAATAAATGATGAAGCAGGGACTTGAAAAACTGCTTGATTCCAAAATCCAAGATCTTTTCAGTTTTAACCATAACATCACATGACCCAATATAATTTATACTAAGAGCTTGTTTTCAATAATGTCCTATTTATGATGGAAAATTCTTTTAAAAATCCTGTTTTTACAGCATATACCTTTTGTTTTTCAAAGATAGGATTAAGAACATTTCAAGAGAGAAATATATATATATTTAAGTACAAGATTATGATATTATAAAAATTGTACATTTAATAGAGAGCCATATTCTTTAACACAGCCATAGTTAGAAAAGGTAATGAGAACAAAAGCTTAATGAACTGAGTCAGCAGTTAACAAACAACTCTTAACACAGCAGTGCTTTGTTAAAAGTATCTTCTCAATGCTCCTCTTGTATCCATGACTATAGGAGCCATGTCTGTATGCTTAGCATCTGGTACTGTGCCTGGTATATAGCAGGTGCTCAGAATACACCTGTTGATTGAATGACTAGGAGGAAGAAGGAAGCATGAAGAAAGAAAGAGGGATGGAGGGAGAGAAGCTGGGTGTCACTTGCTTCTGGTACCTCCTTGGCAGGGATTGGCATTGACTTTAAGGAAAGCCCGACCTCTAGTGGATAGTTCATAGGATGACCTGGACTGAGAAAGTGGCAAGTAGAAAGCAGTTTTGTCATGTATCATCTTTGCCCTCCTCAAATCCATTCCTTCAGCTTGTTTCTCTGTGCCCCTGAGCATATCCCATAGTTTTCCTATTCCTCCTGTTATCAGCAGAGTATAGGGTATGCTTCCTGGCTTTGCAAGACCATAAATTTGATTTTTATTGTTTATTCAGGGTTGATTTGGCTTGGAGAAGTGACCAGAAGGAAACCCACAATAAGTAGCAAATATGGAGACATTTGTTATGTATAAATTTCTGTTACAAAGTGTTAGTTTTTGGTTATTTTGAACTTGAGCAGCTGCAGGAGGATGTTGAAGAGTATGGCCAAGGACAAAGAGACCCTGGCCAGCCAAAAAAACCTTAATGCTAAAAACAAAGCAAAACCAGTTACCACTAATCTTATGGAGACAAACACTGTAAATGATTAAAAAGCTAACAGAGTGAATTATAGATATACAAAAGGAACTTGCACTGGAACAGCTCTGGAAAACCTTCCATAGGCCTCAGCCAATGGTGGTGGCTGGCACAAGGAGGCGTCTTGCATTGGTGCTTGTTACTTCCCCATTTCACTCCATCCCTCACTCCTGTTCCAGGGATCATGACCCCAAATCAACTGCATGGATTCAAGCCCAGTTCTCAGAGTTTGCTTCATAGGAGCCTGAATATTTGGCCCAAACAGCATAGGGCCCACAAAGCTTTCTTTTCTGTGAGGTAATGGACTTACTCTCACCTCTCTGTCTGCTCTTAATCTCTCCCTAGAGATATTTGCTTGAAGACATGACTCTGAAGACTGTGGTTAGCATCTTACCCGGAACAGATGTCGTTTCATGGAGGGCCCATAGTCCTTCCATTGTTCACATGCAGCTTGACCTCCGAATCAAACCAGACCACTGAGAACAATAGGCTAGGGAGACCCTTGTAGACTGTCTTTAGTCAACTACCCCTGGGCCTCCTGCCACTGTGTGAAAGACATGAGAGAGCAGCTGTTGAAATGTCTGAGATGAAGGAATAGAGATATCATCCTCAGTCTCCCAAGAGTCTGCTGTGTGGACCCATGAGGAAAACCTGTCTCAGACCACAAGAAATGACAGGAAAGGCTGTGCTCTTCTGAGGTGATGGCTTGGGTTTACCTGGCAATAGATAATCACTTTCCCCCTTTTGTCCAACTTCTAAGGAGTTTGCATCACAGCTACTAAAGAGGGCCTTTGAATTGTGCTCTGTATGGTCATTCTATGACTAGCTTCTCCTGTTTTCTTCCTTCTCCTTCTCTTTACCCACCTTCTCAACTATTTCATTTCCCCCTCTTACATACATCTGTGGAGGCTTCCACAACTCTTCGTTTAGGATCTAGGTGGAGCACAAATAAATTAGGGTCAGGGAGGGAATCTGCTGAGAGTGAGCAAGTGCAAAAAAACAAAGACTGAATAGACATTTCTCCGAAGATAATATACAAATGGCCAGCAAGCACATGAAAGATACTCAGCATCACTGATAATAAGGGAAAAGCAGATCAAAACCACAGTGAGGTAGCACCTCACACCCATTAGGATTTTTAAAAAATAAAACAGAAAATAACAAGTGTTGGCAAGGATGTGGAGAAACTGGAACTCTTGCACACTGTTGGGATTGTAAAATGGTACAACTGCTTGAGAAAAAACATCTTGGTGGTTCCTTAAGAAGTTGAAGCTGGAACAACCATATGATCCAGCTGTTCCACTTCTGAGTATATATCCAAAATAATTGAGGACATTTTGCTAAGTCCAATAAACCAGTCACAAAAAACCAGTGTATGATTCTACTCCTATGAGCTATCTAGAGTAGTTAAAGACAAAGAAATAGAAAATAGAATGATGATTACAAGAGGAGTGGGTGGGTGGGAGGAGTTGAAACTGTATAGCTTCAGTTTTGCAAGATGAAAAGTCCTAGAGGTTTGTTGTACAACAGTATGAAAGTACTACTATTTCACTATACACTTAGAAAGGCTAAGATGGTAAATTTTATATTTATGTGTATTTTACCACCTTTCTTAAAAATAGAGACAAGTTATCTTTCCACTGTTTTGCTCAATGCCCTTCCTGACCTCAAGTTGAAAGAAGCTGTTGCGTCGGACAACACCACACTGACAAATGGGAGTCGTGGAGCAGGCTACATAAAGCAGAATGCTGCTGAAGAGCAAGATCCCGGCCCTTTTATTGACACACGGTATTCGTTGTAAGGGAGAGGAGCAAAAGATGGTCCACTGATCAGCTTCTGGGGTCTCTTGTCATACATTGGTCCTTGGCTCCCCCCCACCCACCGCTGCGTTCTCATCATACCTCGTGATGCATAACCTTCCCAGTTTGATCCAGCTTTGTGCTCTTGTTTGATTTGAAGGGCTGAAGGGTTGGGCTTCTGTACCTAACTGGCCGGGCCATTTTGACCTTGTTTAGGTGACAAAATGGCGGCCGAATAGGCTGCCTGGGAGTAGCAGACCCAGAAGAAGCTAATGATTTCATTTGCCATTCAAGAAAGAGAGGGGGTATTTTCATCCAACTGGTGACGGTAAGGAGAAATTCAATCACCTACCTTGGATATCAAGATTTGAACAAAGAAACCTTTCATTTGCATGACAATTCTTCCTTGGTTTCCTTTCTCCTATGTAGATTGCCAAAAAACTGTAACTGCTGTCCTTGAATACATAATCAGAACCATATTTATGAGAGGATTTTTTCCTCCTTCTCTCTAAACATCTAACCCTTTGTTCTTAACTGCTTGTGATGATGTACCTCCCACATACAATTAAAGAAGCAAAATTTTAAGTGAAGTGTTTCATATTAAAGACACAGGTTATTTAACATAACCTGGGTAACTAAGCAGGTAAACAGAAGCATATAAGTTAGTGAGTCAACATTTTTCTAGTTCATCTGAAGCTAATTCCTATTTCATTCACTTTTATTCAGTCATTCTCCCTTTCACTCCCAAGTAAAGGCCCCACCAACGGGAGGTTCCCATTCCATGGTTTTTAGATGTTTTGTATAAGGATTAATTTAAACATGATGAATTCTGTTCCTATGTCTGGTTTTAATGTCATATGATAAAAGTCAGAGTTAAATCAAGAAACAAAACCCAGTGAGACTATTTGAAATGAAGTAAGTTTTCTTTGAATTTAAAAAGTGAAAAGCGGGCCTCCCCAGTGGCGCAGCGGTTGAGCGCTGGGTTGCGAAGCTGCACGCGACCTCTGCGGCGCCGGTTCGATCCCCGGCTGCTCCCCGGCCACCAGAGGAGGGTCCCACATGGCGCGCAGACCTCTCCTGCCGCCCGCTGCTCCCCTCAGCAGTGTGCTTCGGTCCTTCTGCCTGCTCTGCTCCCCGCTTTGGCTCTGGTGAATTCTCTCGCCCTCCCGCGCTTCTGACTGTACCCAGTGCATGTATAAACAAACAAAACCAGCAAACAAATAAATAAAGCATGCCTCTATAAAAAAAAAAAAAAAAAAAAAAAAAAAAGTGAAAAGCTGTTCCCCCAACTTGACACAGATTACCCCACACCCAAGTATAAGAACTGAGTTAAATTCAGATAAGAATTGTGCTCTATGACCTTTGGAAAATCTTTGATCTTCACCTAATTTTCCTACCCATAGAATGATCATGAATAATACTTCTGATCAAGGCATCCAGTGTTGTTTAAAGGAGAGAGGATGAACCAGGGACCGCCCGAAATGTTAAAGTTGTTGTGTGATACAAAAAAGGAAAACTATAGGCCAATCTCCCTAATGAACACTGATGCAAAAATCCTCAATAAAATTTTAGCTATCAGAATCCAACAATGTATCCATAAGATAATTCACCACGACCAAGTTGGATTCATTCCAGGGGCACAAGGATGGTTTAACATCCGAAAATCAATCAACGTTATCCAACACATCAACAAAAAGAAATATAAAAACCATATGATAATATCAATAGATGCTGAGAAAGCTTTTGACAAAGTGCAACACCCATTCATGATAAAAGCCCTTGAAATTCTTGGGATACAAGGAACATACCTCAACATCATAAAGGCCATCTATGACAAGCCAACAGCCAGTATCATTCTCAATGGTGAAAAGCTGAAAGCAATTCCATTAAGATCTGGAACAAGACAAGGATGTCCACTCTCACCACTGCTTTTCAATATAATACTGGAAGTCCTAGCCAGAGCAATAAGACAAGAGAAAGACATCCAAGGAATCCAAATAGGAAAAGAAGAAGTCAAACTATCACTATTTGCAGATGATATGATAATATACATAGAGAACCCCAAAATCTCCACAGAAAAACTAATTCAACTCATCAATCAATTCAGTAAAGTGGCAGGATACAAAATCAACACGCAAAAGTCAGTAGCCTTCCTATACACAAACAATAAATCTGAAGAAGAAGAAATCAAAAAAACCACCCCTTTTATTATCGAAACAAAAAAAATCAAATATTTGGGAATAAATCTAACAAAAGAGGTAAAGGACCTATACAAAGAAAACTATAAAACACTGTTAAAAGAAATAGAAGAAGACACAAAGAAATGGAAAGACATCCCCTGCTCATGGATTGGAAGAATAAACATTATTAAAATGGCCATCCTACCAAAAGCAATATACAGATTCAATGCTATTCCAATCAAAATCTCAATGGCATTCTTCAAAGAAATAGAACAATTATTGATGAAATTCATATGGAATCACCAAAAACCCCGAATAGCCAAAGCTCTACTGAAAAAAAAAGAAGGAAATGGAGGCATCACACTCCCAGACTTCAAACTATACTACAAAGCCATAATCATCAAAACTGCATGGTATTGGAACAAGAACAGACATACAGACCAATGGAATCGAATAGAAAATCCAGAAATAAACCCACAGATTTATGGTCAACTAATCTTTGACAAAGGAGCAAAGACTATGCATTGGAGCAAAGAAAGTTTGTTCAATAAATGGTGCTGGGAAAACTGGGTCGCTACATGCAAAAGAATGAAGCTTGACCACTACCTCACACCATACACAAAAATCAACTCAAAATGGATTAAAGAACTAGACATAAGACCTGAAACCATAAAATACATAGAAGGAAATATAGGCGAAACACTACGGGATTTGCACATCAAAGACATCTTTACAGACACATCACCCAAAGCAGTGATAGTGAAGAGAAAGATAAACAGCTGGGACTACATCAAATTAAAGAGCTTCTGCACAGCAAAAGAGACAATAACAAAAACAAAGAGAAACCCCACCAACTGGGAGAACATTTTTGCACCCAACACTAATGATAAAGGACTGATCACAAAAATCTGCAAAGAGCTGATGAGACTCAGCAACAACAAAGAAAATAATCCAGTCAAAAAATGGGCAGAAGAGCTAAAAAGAAACTTCTCTGAAGAGGAAATGCAAATGGCCAACAGACATATGAAAAAATGTTCAACATCACTTGTAATCAGGGAAATGCAAATCAAAACTACCATGAGATACCATCTCACACCAGTGAGAATGGCACATATTAAAAAAACTAGCAACAACAAATGTTGGCGAGGATGTGGAGAAAAAGGAACTCTCCTGCACTGTTGGTGGGAGTGCAAACTGGTCCAACCACTATGGAGAGCTGTGTGGAGATTTCTGGACCTACTAAACATAGAGCTTCCATATGATCCAGCAATTCCACTCCTAGGTATTTACCCAAAGGACACAGAAACATCAATTCCAAAGAGCACCTGCACTCCTATGTTTATAGCAGCACTGTTTACAATAGCTAAGCTTTGGAAACAACCCAAATGCCCAAAAATAGATGACTGGATCAAGAAGATGTGGTACATATATACCATGGAATATTACTCAGCATTCAAAAAAGATAAACACATGCAATTTGCAGCAACATGGATGGCACTGGAAGGGATCATGCTCAGCGAAATAAGCCAAAAAGAAAAAGAAAAATACCGGATGGTCTCACTCATAGCAGGAATCTAGAAAACTTAAATAAGGGACCAGGAAAATGAATATAAGAAAGTGAAAATCAAAATCAACAAAAAACTATGAACCAGAGACACTTTTTGGGGGGTGGGGGCGGGAGGGGAAGGATTGGGGTCAGAATGGGGCGTTTGCAATTGTATGGGGGAATATAAAAATAAAATTTAATATTAAAAAAAAAAAATAAAATATGTTTAAATAAAGTAAAAAAAAAAAAAAAAAAAAAAAGTTGTTGTGTGATAAACCAGCAGGCTGGGAAGAGACTTAATACCCTTTTTCATAACCTTGGCAGTCAACACTCCCCCTCAGTTATACTCATGGTAGTGAGAGATTCCATTCCATTGATGTGGGACTGGGTTCCTCCATAGATCACACACTGACATAAGTGGTGCCAGAGCTCTATCAAATGGTCATTTCAAAGGAAAATGTGACCAAATAATTTAGTTTACATTGATATAAGAAATTTTAAATACATTAAGTCTATTTTCCCTGGCAACAGTCTTATATGTATATTTCAAATTATGTATACACTTTAAAAACTTAACAATGCATTTCTTAGCCTGTATGATTCTTCAGTGAAAGAATTATAATTTCTCCTTCCCTCTTTCTCTTTGTCCTTTTTTACATGTCTCCTTTCATCTTCCTTGAGGCCAGCCTAGTGCCCAGTGTCACTAGATGCTCCATTAATATTTAATGATCTGAGTATATCATCAACAAACAGAAAAGT